AGTCTTGAAAGATGATTAATTAAACTAAACTGAAAATGATCAGTGTCAATTATACATCAGGACAAGCATGCAGACAATATATATCAAAAGCCAATGTTTATTGTTCAGGAAAATTAATAACTAAAAGATAAACAATACAGGTAAAAACAACAACCATATAATCAGAAAAGAATTATAAAAAAAAATACCAATGAGAAAATGCTGGCTGAACAAATCTAGTAAATTTTAAAAATGTGTCATGGATGTAGTATTAATGGAAATGCTTTATAAATCAATTTTCTTTGCTGAAGAGTGCAAGATCTAAAAATGTCTGGTATAACATGACGTATTTGTACATGCAGGGTTGTGAGGTATGGAAATACAAGTGCAGTATTTTGTAGCATGAGTTGTTAATTTACATGGACAAAGCTGGCAAAAGGACAATTTTTATGAGAGATAAATTGTAGATGGACCAATCAATAAATATGAAAAAAAGAACTAATACTTTCCATCAAATTTCTGACATATTTGTACTGCATGTTTTTGTGCAGGGTTGTGCAGTATGACATGGAAGCTTAAGTCAAGTATTTGGTAGTATGAGTTGTTAATTTACATGGACAAAACTGGTACAAGGACAATTTTTATGAGAGATGAATTGTAAATGAACCACTCAATAAATATTAAAAAAAAAATTAATATACTTGCCATCAAATTTCTGAATTTCATTATTAAATTTTAATGAGTTAATTATTATATCCTTTTCGACATTGAATCCAGTGATTGATATATTACACTTAATTTTTCCGATCAAATTATTGACTGATTTTTTCACAAAAACACTGTTCTCATCTGAAAGCAGAAACAAATTTAATTATAAATTCCATAATATCCAAGTTATACAAAATATCAATAATTTCCAAAAGAAAAAAATAAGCCAAATAAAACATTGGATGTAGTTTTGTTTTGTGATGAGCATATTGAGTTTCATGCTGTCAAATATTGTTCATTAATTAAAATTTTCCAAAAGACAAAAAAAAAAATTGGGAAAGTCTCATTTTTTTTATAATTCAGCAATGTTTTCCCAAAACAGATCAGCTTGGTTTTATTTATATTCCTATTTTTAACAATTTATTAAATTTGTCTGAATGCTTAATTATTGTTTTCAAAATTTTACGGATATTCCCCCCCCCCCTCCCGATACACACTTTTCTATTAATTCCCATTCAAAGCTTAGCATCGTTTGGCTGATACAGAGAACTCAACTGCTTAGAAAAATTTAAATTACATAAAAAATGAGAGGAAAATCTTTGTTGAAATTTGTCAGGAAAGATACGAATGTGCTTGTTAGATGATCAGGGAAACAACCAATTAAAACGGCTTCAGAAAAATAAACACAGGGAAAATGAATAAAATATTTTGACAAATTTACATTGGAATTTTTGAGCAAAGGAATTAGCATTATTATATGCCTTTCTAGTGAGCAGGTAATGTAACGGTTATCAGCATGGAAATTGGAATCAGTGATCCATTCAAATTTTATCCGACACTGTTACATTTTTGCACAAATGTCTTTTGGAAAATGAATGACCAACTCTTCTTCCTACGGCTATGGGTTAAATAACACAGTAGACTGGACTTTCTAAACTTAGGAAATAGCCAGTTTAGGAGAATTAAAAACTCTTAATTCAAATCCATAGAGAAGGCAACAAGAAACCACTTCACTTTCTTTCCCAAAAAGTTATGGCAATTCCTTGGTGAGAAAGAAAAGGAATCTACGAAAGGACACGTCATTAAAAAAAAAAAAAAAAACAGTGTATACTTTTCTATTTGAACCAGAAAGCTTGTTTTGTTTGTTATATTTACATTTCAACAGTTGCATTTTCTGAACTTCTTCAGGTGTCTGTCATCATATGCAGTTACCTTTTTGAAATTTTGAACTAAACACTTTATTCAATTCATGAAGATAGATAAATTCTCATTCTGTTTTCTATGTTTATGAGATGTCTTGCCTCAATTAATTTTATCTAGTCCATCTGACTTCAAACTTCTCTTCCACCAAACCAGAGTATATCAATTTTTAGCACTAGATGACACAGGGATTAGACTCACAATTATTAGGGAACCAGATATGTTGCAATCAGTGATTTCATCCACTAGACCAGCTGGTATTATTAAACATATTTAAAGAACAGTCTTGTAAAAAGTTATCTTATTCCAGTTATTTGTCAATTTTTATTTATTTAAGTTCTATGACATCTCACAAGCCTTTTGCTGTTCTGTCGCTATTTCCAGGGAAAGTGTTCAAACTACATTCCTTAATTCCACCAGTTCTTACCTCCCCTGCTAAGACCTACCATTCCATGAATATTGTAGTGAACCACCTTCAATCATATTCCATTAACTCCCATTCAAAGCTTAGCATCGTTTGGCTGATACAGAGAATTCCACTACTTAGAAAAATTTAAATTACATAAAAAATGAGAGGAAAATCTTTGTTGAAATTTGTCAGGAAAGATACAAATGTGCTTGTTAGATGATCAGGGAAACAGCCAATTAAAACAGCTTCAGAAAAATAAACACAGGGAAAATGAATAAAATATTTTGACAAATTTACATTGGAATTTTTGAGCAGAGGAATTAGCATTATTATATGCCTTTCTAGTGAGCAGGTAGTGTAACAGTTATCAGCATGGAAATTGGAATCAGTGATCCGTTCAAATTTTAAATCCAAGTTCCACTTGAGCAGCTTCTTATCATGAAATTGTGTAGCTGACTCCCAAAAAGATGTTTTCCTGATCATTATAATCTTATCCTGTTCAAATCTAGAGTTAACTGTTATCTACCCCATATATCTCTATAAACTGTGCCTCTTACTCTGTAACTCTCTACCTCTAGTGGCTCTTGGGCCTTGTACAGGGTGAACATCATTGTAAAAAAATATAACATCTCTCTTTCTCTCTCTCACTCAAAGGTCTTTTAGCTTATCTGAATTATTTAATTATCTTGGAACAACGTTTTTCTTCTTGATGTGGTATTTTGACTCTGCAGCTGGTATTTTTTATTTATTTATTTTTTTTTTGCACTATTTGACTTAAAAGAATTATTAAAACATTAACAAGTCGTGTAGCTGAGGACCTTTGGATGGTAGCAAGACCCTTTTCTGGTGGGTGGGGGCACTAGGTCTTGGAGTAGATTCTTCCTCTTTTTCAGTGACTGCAACAAACAGAATAGGTAATGCCTCATACCTAAGTAGGGCTTCTAATGTTTCTGAATCACAAAGTACCCTCATGAGACTTGACTTGAGATATTCCTTTCTTCTTAGATAAACCATTCACTTGATGTTAACCATGGCTTTGGTTCTTAGCTATGAATTATCCCAGATCCCAAGATGTTTTGGAGCCTTTTTCTTACATATACTGAATTTATGTCATTCTAGACTTCTTTGTCAGGATCAGAATGTCTGTGGTAATGTTGCCTCTGCTTGTCTTGATTAGTTTTGTCATGATCTAACTCGGACAGTTATTCAGATTGCTACTAAGACTGAATGGGTAAGTGGCCAAAGTGGTTGGAACATTCACATTCTGACCATGAAACCCGGGTTCAAATCTCACCATAGTCAATTTGCCAGGAAGGAAACTTCCTGATGTTATTGGACTGGAGGGGTCAATCCCTGTATGCGGCACCTTTAGAAAGTGCCTGAAAACTTCACCAGGGGTTGACCCAAAACTTGTGAGTGGAATTGGGTAGATGGAGCCCTTGGGAAGGGGATACCGATAGCTGTAGTAGCACGAAGTCACAAGTCATTGTGGCCAAGGGCTTGAGTATATTGGTCTTGTTCAAATTGTCGATCATGCTAGATAGCATGCTCTCTCCCAGGAACTGTAACTTAGGTCTGCTCAGCATAGTTGCACTATAAACCACAGGTGGGCTCAGTGGGTGTTGAGCAAACACAAATGTAACTGAGCGAGCATCTGCAATAGGGATTGGCTAGCTGCCCTAGTAGATGGGTATCCTCGAATACAAGTGGCCAGCTATATACATACTACGACTGACTAATTGCTCTATACTTAGTGCACAGACATAGTGGTAGGCACAAAATGCATGTAGATATCTGACAGAAAAATACTAGCCTGTATTTGAATGTGTGCTACTTTAAAAGTATAAATTTTCTAATAGTTTGCTGATTAATAACTTGATATAGGATTTAAATGCTGTTTGTAATTTTTACCTTCTCCATAAATTGTAATTAAATTTAATTTTAACTTGATGTTCAGTCAGTAAGGACATTGTATGTGTTGATTTCAATAGCAAAACACTTTCCCCTACCCAATTTATCAGCAGAAGCATACAAAAGCATGCTGAGATTTTTTCATAGTAAATAAAATAGGCCAATTCTCAGTTTCATCTGACTCAGTCCCAATCTGTCTATTCTTGAAATCAGAATGCTACATCCATTTGTCCAAACTTGCTTTTGTGTGTCAACCCCAATTCTTATTTTGTGAACTTTTTGCCATATTAATGTTGCTTTGCCTTATTACTGTTAATTTGCCTTGCATATATAGATTGCTCTCTTTATATTATTTATTGCCCTGTTCTTTTCTTTTCTTTTTTTTTTTTGGGTAGGGGGTTATTGCTTATTGCAAAATTTGTCAATTCTGTTTGTTGGACAGTTCTGTTACTTATTTTGCATTTGACCATTGCTACTCACTCCACAGTATTCTGTTAATAATTTCCAATAAAAAGACATCATTTTGTTTTGTTTTCAAGTAAATAATATGTTCAATAATAAGTCTGCTATAATTTGAATCTATTTAATTTGTTTTGCAAAATTATAATTTATAGGGATTTTTAAAGTTTTCCTTTACTACTAGATGACTTTACTATTATTTACTATGACCACATGCAACAGTATCTAAATAGATGCTTGCATGTTTATTTATCAATCACTATGTATTTGTATTTACATAAATATTTGAATAACTTATTATGAATATTAAAGAAAATATTATCTTTCAAAACAGGAATAAAATGGCCATTAAATAATGATGATCGTATTGACTTATATGATTGCCGACTACAAGGATGGTAAGTTTAATACCAGCTTTCTATTTATTTGTATGGGTGAATGTGTGGAGGTGTCAGTGAATATTTACTTTACTAAATGAAGACTATAATGAATCTTCTTAAAATGATAAAATATCAAGAGGCTCTGGTTGGACATTAGAAATGTTATTCATTTTTATCATTTCACCCCGAACAAGGTAATAAAGCCACTAAGACACAAGTGGTTACTAAGTGTTAGAGAATATAAGAAAAACTACTATTAAGGAGTGAAAATGATAATGAACAAAAATTAAGAAGGTAGAAGATAATGATTGATATTGCATTTAAATTTTTGAAGATCAAAGTTGACTTGAAACCAAGAAGCAGGAAGAGAGTTCCACAAGTGAGAAGTGTGAAAGAAGAAACTGTTAGCAAAGAACTTACAGTTATATCTAACTAATTCAATGGTAAAATGATGAGACCTAGCTGCTAATCTAGTACTTTGCTTAAATTCATAAAGTCTAGATACCAAAAAGGAAAGCGATATTTATTCTGTACAATACAGAAATGTGGCACAAGGCCGAAAAAGAGATTGGGGAAAGCACAGTCTTCTTCTGTCTTAACTATAACTTAGCTAGCCGCAAACACTGACCCAATCGTACAAACAATATTCCTTACACCAAAGCAACACATTCATACGTACCTTTCTTACTACAACCACCATAATACCTCTTTGTCTCTATGAAAATACTAACTAGTCCCCATACCAAAAAGGAAAGCTTGTCAGAACAATTACCATGAAAATATTTATAGAAAGGGCACAGGGAAGCTATGTTACAGTGGTAGAAAAGTGACTGAAGCTGAAGTTAGGTTAGGACCAATAACATTATAGATTCTTCTTAGGATTTTATTGAGAATCTGTAAATATATAGCTGGAGCACCAGGCCATATGTGACAGCAATAAAACGTGTTTTTTAAAAAAAGTTCCAGTATTTTTCCTATCATTGTAAAGCTGAAGAAAAAAAATGCATAGTTGGATTCTCTCTTGAGCAGATCTTGTTAACCATATGAAATGCCATAGCCAGAATGGACAAGTGAGGTTGTCTAAAATTGACCAGCAGCTAAACCTAACTAGCTCCATGCATGCATTTATGCCAAATCGTATGCTGGTATGTAAAGTCATTTTCATTCCCATGGCAGAAACATTCCACCAAGGATAAACTTGTTATGTTGCTTTTGCCTATCTGCTGTCAAAAGAAATGCAAATCTAGGAAGCCATTTTAGACCTCATGAAAGACCCAAGCAACAGTTATTTTAAAAAAGTAGTCATGCTCAAAACTAAGTATACAAACCATATATATATATATATATATATATATATATATATATATATATATATATAATATTGCACATTGAGAGCTGGTGTTAATTAAAAAAAAAGTGCTCGGTGTAATGTAACAGAGCTATAAATTATATATTAATAAATATAAATTTATTTCCCTCACTGGTAGCACAGCTCAAAGTTTCATGCACCATGCAATCTTCAGGTTACATTTATCAGGTTGTGCAATCATAGGGCAATGCATATTTTATCTGGGAATTGTTGTTAAAAGAAGAAAAGAAACATTTTGTGGGAATTTTGTATTTAAAATAAATATAAGAGGAAAAACTTATCAATTTTGTATGTAAAATAAACTGAAAAAATTCATGACTTTTGTATGTAAAATAAGCAGAAAAAAAGGAAAAAACATGCATTCACACAAACTACTTACTTCAAATTACTAAGGTAGAATTATAATTTAAATATAAATATTCACATTTAAGTAATTATAAAAAAATTATAATACAAAGTTATTAAACACTATTATGATACATCTACCTTAAATGTAAATTATTATGGATAATTACATATATATGTATATATATATATATATATATATAGATAGATAGATAGATATGGATGCATGTGAAGATTGCATTGTGCATAAAACTCTGAGTCATGCTACCAGTGAGAAAAAAATGCATGCACACACACACATATGTGTGTGTGAAGTCGTCTGGAGGCTGTGGTTGAAGCTATTGGCGATTTTATTTAATAAATTTAATCAAGATATTATTGTGTAAACATAGTAAATATATCTGTTAAAATTAGATGTCAGTGTCATTTTCATTTTTGTGTAATTTTCACAACAATTTATCCTTTTCACCCAGTATATATATATATATATATATATATATATATATATATGTGTGTGTGTGTGTCTTGACTTGCAAAATGCATTATTAAATCTATTTTCAATCGAATCTATTTTATGAAACTTTTCCATTTGTCAAAATTTTAAAAGTCTGTCAGGATTTTTATATCTGAATTTAAACACACACACACACACACACATATGTGTGTGTGTGTGTGTGTGTGTGTAAGGGATGCTGAAAAGTTCTCAACCGACTTTCAAAAATTAGTATTTCAATGACTAAATATCAGACTATTGATTTTTGCAAGTGGACCTGGCTAAGAAGTTTTCAACACCTCCTCATATATATCATGGTTTGGTTTTGCAAATTAAGTTTTGGTAGGGCTTCCCACAACTGATAGTTAAGCATAAGATAGCCCTCGGTCTAAGTGAAGTTTTAAAAATGAGGTACTGCATGCAAGTGACCAACTACAACCTTTAAGTAAAGGTTTACATTCCCTTGTCTACTGAAATAGGATGATGAGAAGAAAGGTCAAGATTGTAGGTTTTCTGCTGGTATTTCTTCCTTCTAGGCAGAAAACTTAGCTGTCTGTAGCAATCTGCCATGCTTCTGAAATGATTCTGATAGGATGATTGATTTGGGTTGATCAGATATCATAAGCTTTCGATGTGCAAGAAGCATAATGGTTATCTGTGCAGAAAATAGAATTGATGAGCCAAGTTCAAATTTTAATTGATTCTGCTTTATTTACTTCATGTTACTGCCTTTGGAAATTACTTAAATCTATTTCCTCTAACTCTGGGTTAAATAAAAGGGCAGACTGGTCTATTGTGTCTTGAGTGGCAACCAGTCTAAAGGAAGAAAAATTCTAAATTCAAAACATCTTCATATCAGGTTTAAGTACATGCATTGTTCTTAGTCTTTGATGTTATTTCCAGGAAGCTTAAACTCTATGAAAATATGTAGCATAAATGAAATGCAGTCAAGTGCTACTGATAATGGTACCCACCCACATTGGTCAAAGTGATGACGTCTAGTGTGCTGTCTTTGCAGAAAGATAGCATATTGCTATTCTCCAAGAACAGAACTGCTGTGAACCCTGGAACATCTGTTTATGAAGAAGAAAGTGTCTACATGATAGTCAAGATGGTAAGATGAGCAGTGTTAGTGATGCAAATGATTCTTTTGTTAGCCAACCACTAAAGTTTTAGGCTCCATAAAATCATTTTTCTGAAGAGGCAGTTTGCCATGTTGAGCATATAATGGGATTGCAGTGTGTTACCAAGGTGTCTGGTCATGTTATATCCAGAGTCATTTAAAAGTCATTCATCCTTGTTTGTGCTTCTGGTGTCTCAGCTGCATATTGCATGTGTTCCTGTATGGCAGTCTTGTTCATGCCCTAACCATTGTGATCAAAACACTATGAAAGTGTAAAAATAGGTTTTAATACCAGAAATACTTTGTAAAAATTATTGCCAGCAATAAATTTTTGAAGAAAAAAAAACTATTACCAGCAATACATTTTTGAAAAAAATATTACCAACAATACTTTTCTGAAAAAAATTATTACCAGCAATACATTTTTGAAGGAAAAGTATTACCAGAAATAGATTTTTGAAGGAAAAATATTACCAGACAAAACAAAATATTACTAGGAAAAAAAATTTTGTCAGCAAAATAGACCAAACCAATCACATGGAATATTTGAGCTATACAATCTACCTACTTCTAAGCTTTTGTAGATTTTAAAGAAAAAAACTGTTTTTAGGTTTTAACACTATTTTGGGGAGGTTAGACTGCATGATAATAAACCATAAGGAGAGATGTTCAGTGATTTTATGACACACTGAGCACCATTTTACTGTTATCAGTTCTACTGAAATTTATGGCTGATTCGACACAAGCCTTCATAATTATAATCAAGTCATCTGCATGTGTTACAATTCAGTTCTAAATTTGAACTGTTTGGCTCTTCTGTATCAAAACTGATGGGAACAACAATGATATGTATATTTGTATATATGTATTTAAATAACAGTCATAAACAAGGAATATGTTTTTGCATTTTGCTCCTAATCATTCTTGTTTCTCTATAAATAATCATAAGTCAATAGATATTCAGTGCATGAAATGTGTCATAGGTTTCTGATCTCACCTTTTTGTCTATTCCTTGAGTTATTTTCAGGATTCAAAAATAGGGATAAAAAAAAAGACTTTGATAAATATGTTAGTTGCTATTTAAAATTCAGTTTCTAAATGCTGGCATTATGGTATTAGCCAAAGTTTGACTTGAGATCAGGCAAAAAAATATTGTGTGTCAAAAGGATCTTTTTTTTTTCTTGACACTACTACTACTGTATATTCTGTTGAGATGTTTTATTGTTTTAAAAAAGCTATTTCCAGAATTGAAATAAAACCATAACATAACCGAATTCATACATTTTTACTCGCTTTAATTAACCATAACTACAAGAGATTATTTCTTGTTTTAATTTTCCAAGAGGAAAATTTGTTCATTTCTAGTTCCATGCTTTTATTAAAATTCTAAAAATAACATTTCAACACAATAAAAATTACAAAAAGGATATACAATAATGGCAGGGTCAAAAGAAAAATCTTTTAACACACCATTCCTTTTTTTTCTTTTCCTTTTTTGGTTTGGTACTAAGTTAAACTTTGCCTGATTTTTATGCATTATGATGAGCCATATGCTAGTGAAATTCTACTCTTAATAGACTATCAGTCAGTTGTTAAATATGTTCAAAATCTCAGTCTCTTGAATAAAGAAGATGCCAACATCTCATATATTTAAATATAGCTCACAAATGTACATTCACACCTATTCATTAAATTCTATGCTTTCAATTTTAACTTTTAACACTTTGCATTATTTACAAATCCACTGCAAGTTCCATCAAATGCACTAACTTTATTATCAATTTCAGTCAAGGTAATTTTTACTGTTGCCCTAACAGGACATGACAACACAACTTCAAAATTCAGATAGTATCTTTTAATACTCAGTGTCACTTGCATTGAAAGGATACACTTTTTGCTTAACAGAGGAAATCATCTTGCAGTGTTAAAAGTTAAACTTGAAAAAAAAACACCAAAATTGAAAATAATGATTTTCATAAGTTATTTCCCATTTGTTATTATTATTGTTTTAATCACAGGTACATTCAAGGAGCTGCCGCCCCTAAGAATGTCATCATTCTACTGGATTCCAGTGGCAGTATGACAGGTTCACGTATGATCATAGCACAGAGTACAGTAAATAAAATTTTGGATACCCTCACTGTCAATGACTACTTTAACATCATTCAGGTAAGCTATCCACTTTCTTAAGCTGTTGTGTGGGAGAATATCAAACATTTGATACAATCTAATTTCTCTTTAAATTACATAATAATTTAAATTTACAATAATCATTCTAACATTGAGTAATAATGCTAACATTTTAGTCAGTAAATGTATTTATGTCAACATCCCATTAAAAAGATAAATTTTCAGCAATTAATGTCTGAAGAGTTATTTACAATTCATTAGTATAGTATACAATCACTTTCTCAGATCAATGGTTAAAATGGCATCAAATGAATGAAGCTTGTCGATTTTAGTGAGAACGATCCTTTTTTGAACCTTGTGGACTAGTGCTACAAAGAAAGAACTGTACCAAATTACAGAAACTACATTGCTTGAGAACTTTCAACAGCAGCAACAACTAAAATGGATATCACATTTAGCTCAAAGAGAAAATACTGACATAATCAATATGTTGATGCGCCAAAATAATTAAAGAAAAGGCTAGGAAGGAAACTCCCATCAATACTGCAAAGGACAATAATAGCTAGTGGACTTGAAAAACCTACTTTCCTGAAAAATTGTTTAGCGAGTAAGATTTTATAAATTTCAGCCGAAAGTCAACCTAGCTGTTTGGTCAATGAATGCTGAAAGTTTCCTTATTGGGAAATGGCTAATATTACAATACCATTGTATGGCTGACCACTTATATCCAAGTATATGGTGGCTAGTTGATTCCAAACAGGCACATTTGTGTTCATTCAACACTCACAAAACTAACCTGTGGTTTATACTGCAACTATGCTGAGCAGACCATAGAAAATGTGGAAGAGAGCATCTGGTGTGATCAATAGTTTGAACACGACCAATATGCTCAAACTATTAGTCATGATGACTTGTAATCTCATGCTAGCACAACCATTGAAAGCTTCCAAACAGTTCTGTCTACCCAATTTCACTCACAAGTCTTAGATCAATCATGGGCCACTATTATATACAGCCCCACATGTCACATTCAGGCTAATTTTTAACAGGCCTATTTGGTTTATAATCAATTTATGTCTATTTTATGTAAAACATGTTAAAACTGTACCAAAATAGACAATTTTTTTCTCTTTTTAAACAGAAAAGTAATAAAAGGTTGTAAACAAACAAAAAAGTGATTAAAAAATAAAGCAGTAATACAAAACAAAAACAAGTAAAAAAATTACCAAAAATTTCTCTATATATCAATTTTCTTCTGACCTTTGCCTTTTTTGTAAAACATTCTACAATATTTTTTCAAACATTATCTGATGAAAAATTTCGTTTGTTGTTGTAAAATATATTCATGACAATTTTTGCTGCAAAGTGAATTCCTTTTTCAGTGTGTTGTTCACAAATAAAAACATATTTCAGAGAGTAAGTTTCCAAAATTCTTTCAGCAGGCTCTCTTGTAATGGATTCATTATGTATTACTATAAATTTATCTGTATAGTCTTCTATAGCAAAAAAGCACAAATAAACTCTGCCATTTGGCTATGTAGAACCATAAGACCTCCTCAAGAAAGTAAGTCAAAGTACTGCTTGTCTGTAGCATTATCACTATCATTGCCTACCATGACCAGGGAACACATTTCACATTTAAAACATTTAATTAATTATTTTGAATTTCCTCTAATAAAGAAAAAGATGGTAATGGAAATTTCTCCAGAAGTAATTTTTTGGCTTGTTGAGATATATAGCACAATAGTAAGGCATAATGTATTAGTTTTGCAGAAAATGAAAGATGACCTCTTAGTTGGTAATATTGTCTTTTTTCTAATTGTTTTAGAATTGAGTGTGGTTGTTCATCCACCATGTTTTTTATGTAGTTTGGAAAATTGTCTAACATGCTAAATCTTGTGAGTTTAGCATTATGTTCATGTATAAACCACTGTGGTAATGGTATAGGGGTTCCATCACACTGGAGCTGGATGTGATGGTTTTGGTCAATATGAATACATTCTTTTATTGATGGAAAATATGTTTCAGGGTCAAAGACTAGTCTATAAATTTGAATATAATCTTCCTTTTTGTTTAAATTCAAAACTGTTAGGACAACACACTGCTTCTTTCAATTGAGTAAAATCCTTTATCGTATCAGCTGAAATAAAATCATGTAATTCATCAGTTTGGACCAGTCATTGTTTTGGAGGCTTTCTGAATTCCCCTGTATTCAGCAAGAGATGGTTTTCTTATTTTTTTTTTTTAAATGTATTGTAGGTATTGGATGTATGTCTCAATTCAGTTTATTATACTCTCCTCTCAAGATAAATTTCTCTTCAAAATCTTTTATACAGAGAACTGAATTTTTTATAGGAAACCAATCAATACAATTAACAAATTTTATCTATTTTTCTATGAGGTTGGATTTTCCAAGAGGAAAAGAAAATGTTGATACTTTTTCACTGTTAGTAACATATCCACTAGAACAGCCAAATATTTGTTAACCATTTTTGTTAAACAAAATATAACAAACATTATAATTTAATCTTTAAATGCAATCGACTATGAGGTAGAAAATTTACCTAACAGCATTCATTTGCAAAACAAGGCATATATGCAATTGAAAATCATAAAAGCAAAGTAACTCACAGGCATTTATAATTCATGGATTAGTTAAAAAAAAAAAAACGTGTAAATATGCATTTTAGTGTTAAAAACATGTCTAGTGAATTGAAATAACATCTAATAAATTCTATGTAATCATACATTCTTAATTTATGTTCTTTGAATACAATTTTTAAAGTTACCTCCCTTTTAGATTAGCCATTTTCTAAGCAGCCATTCATATTCTTTTTTTGTTGTTGCTGTTTACACTGGCCTGTTAGAATTCAGATGGGACTGTATGATACTTGTTGGCCATGTGTCAACCCGTGGTAAAGTTTTCAGGCATTTCCCAATGATGCCATATGCTGGGATCATTTCCCAGGCTAATATTATCAGAAAGTCGCCTCCCTGAAAAATCAACCATGATGAAATTTGAACCCAGGTCAGAATGATAATGTTCTAACCACTCAGCCCTGTACCCACATTCAATTTACAATAATATGAATTATATAGTAAAACAACTTTCAAAAATTATTAATTTCTGATACATATTGCTTTCATCTTAACTTCATTTCACTTTTCATCATAACTATACATCATTAGTAAACAGCACAGATCTAAAATAAAAATAAAGGTCTTGATGAGACACAAGTTACATCCTTTTTTCCTCAGAAAGTCCTGTAGCTAAATCAGTAAGGTAGCTGTCACAGTAAAACAGGTTTCTTGTTGGAGTGCTATGAATTTGAGTCTTGAAGAGATTTGCAAACAACTCCACTGATAGAAAACAAAACTAGTTTTCTCTGTAAAATCTAGTGTACCAACAATAAGAGATGGCTATGCTGATGACATAGGTCTTCCTTTTAGGTTTAAAGCTGATATTGAACAAAAGATCCATATTCTGTATCAAGTATTCTAGGAATTTGAACTTCAAATAAAGCTACCTGAAACAGAAACCATGATCTGGAATTGGAATGAGAATAACGAAAGGACCTATCCTAAATCAATCATAAAAATCAAGAATGTTGAATTGATACATTTGAAACACTAAATAACTTGGTATCGAGATGAGTTATAACAAATTTAGTATTTGTCTATATTTCTGAGATGAGGTATTATGTACACTATTTGCATTATTTGAACTATTGTCCTCATCTTTATCGCCATATTTATTACAACGTTTCAGCTGTGGTACGCTTCGGCCTTCCTTGAGGACACATGGCACAGTGGATAAAGGCATTGGTTAGATCCAGTGACAGAACCCAAAGAGTGTGAGTTCAATACCCAGTTAAGGCAGTGGAGAACTTGGAGAGGGGAATAAACAGGAGATAACCGATAATTGACATCCATTAAAGATGGCACATGGAACTAGAACAGTCTACCCCAGTGAGCAAAGTAAAGTATTCAGTTTGACATTCCAACCACCTGAAGAAGGCCAGAGTGTACAACAGCCGAAACGGAATAAATATGGTGACAAAGATGAGGACAATAGTCTGAATAATGTAAATAGTGAACAAATTTAGTATAGGAGATGAGTAAGTGGAATACAGAATAGGTTGTGCTAGGGTTACTTCTGCCCAGCTACAAAACAAAAATATTGACCTGAAAATTTGAGTGATGTTCTTAAATAGCCTCATCAAAGATTTTGATATGGAAATGATGCACAGTGTTTGATTCATTCAGCAATATCTGAATTATCATCTGTATGAAACTATTTTCTTAGATTAGTGGTTAAAATTAGCTTCAAATAAATTAATCCTCCAAATCTTAAGAAGCTAATCCTCGTTCAGACCCCATAGATTGGCATTATAAAATCAAAGAAAACTTTGCCAAATAACAAAAACCAATATCACTTGAACACTTCCAAATACAGCAACAACAATGGGTCGCACATGTAACTAAAAAAAAAAACAATGAATGTTTCCCATATGGAAATGGCTAATTTTATCCTGACCATAATTCAGGATTTCTGAGCTGTACTATTTGCTGATTGCTGTAGAAGACTGGCATGAGTAGTTGGGAGGCTAATATAAAAGAAATACTTGTCAGAAATTAGTAATAGTTGACAAGGCATCATCTCCTCCTTCTCCACCTCCTCCTTCCTTGGTACCATACTCTATTGTAGAGAATAAAGACACAGTCTCACTATTAATTCTAATCATTACTTTTTATTAAAACAATAAACATTACTGAGGAGTGAATGTTGTTAAAATAATAGCAGTGTCAAAGGAAAAACCGTCCTTTTAATACACACATTGTGGGCACAAAAATTAAAGAGTGTCATTTCAGGTTTATTTGGTTGAAAGAAAAGATCTTGTAATTTCTAAGTAATGTCCTACAAAAGGGAAGAATTTTCCTTCCAAAAAAATAAAATAGCAGAGAAACTGATGTAATGAATATGCATACACCTGGGTTCCCCCTCACAGTAATTTATGTCAGCCATAAATACAGACTGA